GCGCAGTATCAAGGTTTTGATCTGGCTGTGTGGACTGGTCATGAGAGTGCAGGTCGTGTCGCCTCCGAGACGTGGCCATACGGCGAACTAGTATTCGGAGCTTGTGAATGGGTATTCGGAGTGGTTTTCTCAATCGAGATTTTGATGAAAATCGCAGCTGAGCGACAACGGTTTGTCCGAGACTGTTGGAATTTGGTCGATCTTTCGGTCGTCGGTTTCTGGATATCCAGCGGCCTTCCGCCCATCCCGCCATTTGCCAGGGTCGTGGGTCAAGGCGCAGCTGGGACGGATCGAAAGCCACGCCATTCCGTGTAACGCATCTTGTAACGCCGCTCACGAGGGGGTCGAGACCACTGCGAACGGTCGCCTTGCCGCCAGGAGGGGGACAGGGTCCGTTTCGATTCCTCCGGTTCGATTCGATTCGATTTCGATGGATTCCGATTCCGACTCGATTCGAGTTTGTATTCCGATTTCGATCCCGGTTTCTCAACTCGGCCTTTTTACTCCGACGATCTCCGCCGATTCGACTCCTCCCGACTTGGCTGCCGATTTCCGCCGATCCGACTCAAGTCGATCGCCGTTCCGATTTGTCGATTTGATTCTGGCCTCGTGGGAGGAGCAGTTAGGTCGTCAGGTGAGCACCACACGAAGTATCAGCTCATAAACAAAGCAGAGTAAGGCACACGAACACATAATAGCAACCATCGACGCAGACAACAGCAAAGCAGAAACCATGAGGGCAGATATCGCATATTGTTCTCTCTTCTCTTCGCTCCCCTACCCTCCTACTCCCTCCCTCAACGGGCTGGCCGAAGGGCAGGCTGAACCTTTGCATGGACACTGTGAGGTTGAACAGTGAAGGCGCTTGCATGTTTATGACCACTTCCGTCTAGGGCACGGCCACATGGGGGGATGGAACAGTGAGACCATTGCCAAGCGCGGCTATGGCGAGCTGGCCTCCTACCGCCGTCCATCCTGGCACTGGGAGGACGATTTTCCTCCGTTGTCGTGTTCTCCGCCCCGTCTTTCGGTGGTGGCAAAGGGCAAGTGGCTAGACGCGTTGGCACTGTGGGGACCTTATGGGGGCTTGTCGTGTGTATCGGCATCAATTTCTCCTCAGGGACCAAACGGTGGATTGTCAACCCCTTCTTGGGCCCTTTTTTGTGCCGTCCTCTTAGGGGCCTCTCGTCCCTCTCTTGGGGGCCTAGGGGGTTCTCATGTATGCCTTTTGAGGTGTCTTGGACGCTCTGGAGGCGAAATAACCCCTTGCCCCCGATAATACATCATCCCCCCCTTAACCCCCTGAACATGTATTTTCCCGTGTCAATCGGATTTATTTGTTGAGAGGGGCGGCGAGGCCGAATTTGACAATCCCCAGGGGAAGTTGCTACTCGAAGTTGTTATCGTCTTATGTTGACTAGCAGCAGTAAAAAAAAACGCTGAGCATGGCAATGGTGGTCTCACCATTCCAGCTTTTGCAGCCACGAGCGTGTGGCAGGGCTATGGGATTCTCACCACCCCAGTTTTCCCAAGTCACGGACGTGCGGCATGGCCATGGGATTCTCACTTTTCTCAGCCAGACGGCTCCAAAGGGTGCCGAGCCTGCATGGGCGAGTGGTCCGAGGTCCTGCGCAAGAGAGGTTTCTTGACCAAGAGCGCCAAGGACCTCTCTTGCGCAGGCAATTTGTTGCCACGAGACTCCATATCTCTCGAGTGAATCTTGTGCCGAGATCTACAAGGTCAGTCTACTCGAGCGCCCAGGATCATCATCATCATCATCATCATCATCATCATCATCATCATCATCATCATCATCATCATCATCATCATCATCATCATCATCATCATCATCATCATCCTCATCCTCATCATCATCATCATCACCACCATCATCATCATCATCATCATCATCATCATCATCATCATCATCATCATCATCATCATCATCATCATCATCATCCGCTGGGAAAATCGTTGATTATCCCCGCCAGACCCCCGAACTTTCTTATTCCCAGGGGTTATCATCAGGGGCAGTCGGTTATGCGGGAATGCCTCAGTCATAATGAAGCCTGGACGTTCTATGGTTTGGGCCTGTGAGCCGTCCCCCAGGGACCCCAAGACGGCCCTGGAGACTCCCAGGTGGGCTCCCAGACGGGCCAATGGGGCAATCCTGGAGCGTGTTAGAGGCAAGGGACTCCCAGCCGCAGGGAGCCCCGATACCATCCGAGAGCCTGCAGGTGTTCCCAGGGACAACCTAAACGCGAGGGCTCGTGACCCTTCAGCATCTTCTGAATCTTTGACTGGGGTGCTCCAGAAAGGGCCCCGCCTTCGAGGATCGAATGGGTTGCAAGTTTTTTCTCGGCGGAAGCTGGCGGAAGGCCGCCGCAAGGCGGCGGAGGTAGAACGAGGCCTCCTCCGCTGGTGCAAGCCGGCGGAAGGCCAGCGGATGACAGTGGACGTAAGACATGTGCGACCAAGAGATGTCCACATTTTTGGATCCAGGGTTTCTGGAGTCGGCCAAAAGCCTTCATTCGAGGGGCCGTCAAGGATCCGAGGGCTGTGCACGTCGTGCCAGGGGCACGCTGGCGGATACGGTCGTGCTCGCGCCGACGACAGCGCGAATGCGCAGATGCTGCGTCTTGCCCGCCTTGTGCGGGTTTTGAGGCTGATGCGACTTATCCGGTACCTGAGGAACAGCGCCGGATTTGATTCGTTGTACGTCATGATGGCATCGCTGAAAGGAGGCGTGGCGATTCTAGCATGGTCGTTCACGTTGTTGCTGATTATGCACGTGTTATTAGCACTGGCCGTCAATCAGGCTCTTCATTTGTGGTATTTTGACGAGAGCCAGGCCGAGGACCAAGCTGAGGTGTTCGAGTACTATGGGAGTTTTTCCCGATCACTCCTTACGATGTTTGAGCTCACCCTTGCAAATTGGATAGTCCCAGCGAGGGTGCTGATGGAGAAGGTGCACGAGAGCCTTCTCATCTATTCTGTCTTGCACAAGATGATACTCGGATTTGCAATCATAGGAGTTGTAAATGGAGTGTTTATTTCATCGCTTCGCTCATTCCGCCGGCCCTCGAGCGCTCTATGGGGCCTTTTTGAAGCCTCTTGGCGGCCTCTTTGGGGCCTCCTAGGGGCCTCTTGGGTCCTTGGCGGCGTCTTGGGGCCCCCTAGTGCCTCTTGGGGGGGCTCTTGGGGGCCTCTTGGGGCGGGGTAGTCGAGTGCACCCCCCTCGGACGCCACGATCCTCGTGAGGGGTGTCAAAAAAGGCCCTCAAAACCATCTCTGAGTAGACCTGGTCGGGCTGCGGTCGGGATACTTTTCGCCGGGGGACTCCCAGGGGCTGCCCCGCGCGCGCGAACTAGAAATATTGTTAACCAATTACTGGAGATTTTAGCACGCCTCTGGCCCGTTGGGCCGGCGAATTCAAGAGACATTTAAAGTCGCTACGATGGACGACGCAATAATGGTAAGGCAGGCGCAACGTAAAGAGAAGTCTCACATCTCGAAGATGAGGCGCCTTTTCGTCACAGCAGACACGGATAGGGATGGCACAATTGATCGTGAGGAATGGTTGGCATTATGCGAGGACCCATGGATGAGGGTATGGCTTAAAGCACAGGATTTCGATATGAGGGAGCCGGGCAGACTTTTCAGTGCATTGGATGATGGGAGTGGGAGACTAGATGCACATGCACTCGTCCAAGGTACAACAAAGATAAAGGGTGAAACTTCGCCTATGGCCATGGTCAGGCTGATCAGTGAGGTTCGCGAGCGTGTGAAAGAGATTCAGAGCAAACTAGCGCCCGGCCCTGACAATGAGATTCGTGAGCGTGTGGGCGTCAAAATGGGCCAAATGGGCCCCGACCCCGAATCAGACATCCTCACTTGAAAATGGATTGAGCAAAGGCGGTGCACTCAAAACCGAGTGTGCCTGATGGTTTCCATCTCCGCAGGCAGCGACACCTTCGTCTTCGGATGTGGGACATGTCAAGCTTGGGTGCGCGCGAATCGCAGCCGCAGGGGGAGCCACTCTGGTGGAAGGCCGACACGCCGAGGTGTGAGGTGGCAGACGGCCGCTCTGGCATACCATGGCGAGGTGTCGATCTTGGCATGTTCCGTTGGTGCCCACCTTCGGCATGCGTGGTGCGACACCAGCAGCGGCGCCGAACGGCGCGCCGAGAGGATCCCGAGGCGTCCGCGACGCGCGGACAGCTCTGAGCTGTCGCGCTCACTGTGCCGCGCCGCTCGGCAGCGAGCGCCTTTGCGCCGGCCTTCCGTCTCCATCGTGGGCAGAGCGTGCACCTTCTGCAGAACGCCGCAGGTCGCTTTCCTGACAAGTACCATCCAGTTCCTTCGTCTTCAGACGCATGGCGCCGCAGAGTTCATCCCACACGCATAGGGGTGCCGCAGAGCGCGCGGTCCTCGTCCTCTTCTTCTCCTCCCTGTCCTCCTCCCCCGCTTGCCTCCACAGAGGTTGGCCGTCGCGCCTTTGCGAGCAAGGCGGCGGAGCTGTCACGCCCTTTGTGCACGTGCAGCGCCATCTCGACTGACTCCGCGTCGACTGCTCTGGTGCTCCAAAGAGAGGACCGATGGAGGGGGGATGGTTCACGTGTCTCTGGGGGGGGGTGCTGAAGATGACGCAGATTTTGCGAAGTCACTGTCGTTTTTCCCGCGAGGAACTCGGCGGAGGTGCCCTCGGCGCCGATCGCAGCTCGCGGTATTAGGTTTTTTCTTTTGCACTGCGCGGTGTTGCTTGGTTCTGCACAGAGGCCTGCTCATCCTGTTCCTTGTCCTCCTAATGTCGGAGACGCCCCCAGCGAACCACCGCCGCCCCCTGCCTTCTGGAAGCGCTTGTGTGGTGGGACATCGAGCATGAGTGCGGCCACACTAGTGACTGCTTGTCCCCCTAGCCGCTGGGGAAACCACTGGGTGATTTCTGTGGGGGCCCTCTGGGGCCGTCTTAGGGGTGTCTTGGGGCTCTTGTCTGGCCTTCTGGGCCTTTTCGGAGGCCTCCTGAGGTCCTCCCGGGTCGTCCTGGGGCTCCTTTGGGTCATCTTATTGCGCTCTTGGGCCGTCCAGCGCCTTCGGAGGCGGTCTCGGGGGCCTCTCTGGGCCGTCTTGCCGTCTTTGGACTCCTTAGGGCCCTTAGGGCCGCCCTGGAGCTCTCTTGGGCGATATTGGGGCCGTCTTGGAGCCGTCTTGAGATCCTCTCGGGGCCCTTTTGGGATATTTCGGTCCTCTCTTGGGATCCTCTCGGGGCCTTATTGGGTCGTCTTGGGCGCCCTGAAATCCAAGGGGGCGAAAAGCAAGAAAACCTTCAGACACCTTAGGAATATCATTACTCTTTGCCTCTTGAGGCCCTCCTGGGGGTCCCCTTGGAGCCCTCATGGGTCGTGTTTGAGGCTTATCGAGTCGTCTTGAGGTTATCTTGAGCCGTCTGCGAGCTCTTCTGGTCCGTCCTGGAGACGTAGTGGGCCATCCTGGAGGCCATCCGGGGCCGCCTTGCGCCGTCTTGGAGGCCATCTTGGGCGCCTGCAAGGCGTGCCCTGTGCACTCTTCGGCGCTTTGTGTGGCCATCTCGGGGGCTGGCAGGGAGGAGGGAGGAGGGAGGAGGAGGGGAGGAGGAGGAGGAGGAGGGAGGAGGAGGAGGAGGGGAGGAGGAGGAGGAGGAGGAGGAGGAGGAGGAGGAGGAGGAGGAGGAGGAGGAGGAGGAGAGGAGGAGGAAGAGGAGGAGGCGGAGGAGGAGGAGGAGAGGAGGAGGAGGAGGAGGAGGAGGAGGAGGAGGAGGAGGAGGAGCAGGAGGGGTCGGACCGACGATCACCAGGAACGTGCCGCACGAGCGCAGCAGCCTGCCACACGCCGGCACGCCGCGCACCCCCCAGGCGGGCTAATTACCGGGGGGCAGCGGGTCCGGGCTGGCTTTCGGCCCATCCCCGTCGCTGGCCGGGGCTGCGGGCAGGAGGCCCGTCGGGTGCTTCCTTGGGGCCTCCAGGAGCTTCGTGGGCGCCTCTCGGCGGCCTCCTCGGCGGACCTCCTTTGGGGCCTCTTGTGGGCGTCGTTGGGGGCCTCCTTCGGGACCTCTTGAGAGCGTCCTGGGGGCTGCTGGCTATCTGGGGGGCCCTCAGAGGGAGGGGGCCCGCAATGCCCTTTCAACGTGCCCATCTTGGACCCCGTGGGCCCCTCTTGGGGGCTTCAGGGCCCTCTTCGGGTTCTCTTAGGAGCTTGATGGCGGCCCGCAATCTTGATGAATTCTGAACGTTGCTCTTACGTTCGTCCGTAGCAGGATTCCCTGCGCTGCCATCTGGCGAGAACTGGCTGACCCTTTCCAGTTCGCCCATTCTGCTCTACACCGATTGCACGCGCAGCCAAGCTTTTCCCGTGTCCTCAGGCCGACTCTGTCGCGCACTGATGCTGCTGCTGCTGATTCTCCTGCTCCCCTTCCCTCCTCCCCCCCTCCCTCTTCCGACGAGGGGGGGAAGGTCGGCGGCGAGCCGGGGGGGGGTGGAAGTTAGAGGGGTCAAGCCCTCGCAGAAGGCGGCGGGGCTTCTCGGAAGCCCTCGCGCCTTCTGAAGAATCGCCAGTGTCTTTGGGGGGAAGGCTTTGAAGCTTCTCAGACGGCCGGAGGCCCCTCCGAGCCTGCTGAGAATGCCCACCCCCTCCCGACTTCCCCCCTGGGCTCACTGCCGAGCCGCTGGTGATTCTCCTTTTCCCCTTCCCTACCCCCCCCTCCCGCTTCTGGCGAAAGGAGGAAGGAACGAGGGCTCGTCGTCGTTGCTGGGCGCTCGTCGCCGTCTATGGCGGCATTGGACCTCGCACTGTCGCGACGCGAACCTGGCGAGATGTGGGTGGATTGCCAGGGGAACAAAGCCAGCCAGACGAGTTCGCTGAGCAAGGAGTTGGGCGCCACCAGCTCACAGCTTGGCACCCGGGCGGACGATGTTCGGATGTTTTCGTTACCACGGGGCGGATACAAAGTCGCCGCACAAGTCGGAGCGCTGGGCGTGGCGTCCATGTGCTCGAGCCGACGCTTGAGTCGACCCCGCCCGATCCCCGAGCCCGTGCCATAGGGGGGAGGCGAGGGAGCCGAGGAGGCCCGCCTTGCTGCCTTCGTTGGGTCACCCGCCCCTGAGTGCTGCAGAGGATTGGGATGCGCAGGGAGGCTCGACAAAGCCCGCAGTGCTGGCGCGAGTTGGTCGGTTCGCTCGACTTCTGCTCTCTGCCATCGGTGCGCAGGCTGCGCCGGCGTCAGGTGGAGTGGTGCCTGTTGTCCCGATGCCCTGGAGGGGGTCCTCGCGTAGGAGGGGTAGGAGGAGGAGGAGGAGGAGGAGGAGGAGGAGGAGGAGGAGGAGGAGGAGGAGGAGGAGGAGGAGGAGGAGGAGGAGGAGGAGGAGGAGGAGGAGGAGGAGGAGGAGGAGGAGGAGGAGGAGGAGGAGGATGAGGAGGAGGAGGAGGAGGAGGAGGAGGAGGAGGAGGAGGAGGAGGAGGAGGAGGAGGAGGAGGGAGGAGGAGAGGAGGAGGAGGAGGAGGAGGAGGAGGAGGGAGGAGGGCAGGAGGAGGAGGAGGAGGAGGAGGAGGAGGAGGGAGGAGGAGGGAGGAGAAGGAGGAGGAGGAGGAGGAGGAGGAGGAGGAGGGGGAGGACAAGGACATCCGCATAAGGGGGTATAACGTCAGAGCATCTACTCAGGCGATCTACGCGCTACTGCCCAAATCCCCTGCGATTTGTTGTGCTACAGCCCTGCCTTCTCACTCGGGCCAGCAAGGGGCATACCCGGTAGCTCAAGGACCGGGCTCCGAGGTGGCCCCGGAAGAGAGGCTGGCTACCTTACATCACGAGTCCCTTCGGGTCAGTGCGGGGGGAGCGGCTGCTGGCCCTTCCGCGTGCTCAAGGGGAGGGGACGCGCGGGCTTAGCAGGGCGCCCAGACCAAGGGGGGGAGGAGACGACGACACGACATCAAAAGGAGGAGAGGGGGGAGAGACGGAAGGGCCGAAACCCCAAACTTCTGCTGGGGGGCTGCTACATCTACGGCTTGAATTCCGTGCTCCCTTCTGTCGCACAGCTCACTTCTCGGTCGTACCGAGAGATGTTGTATGTATGGTCACATCTGTACTCTGGTACCCTGTTGAAGTAGCCCAAGGTTCCCCCTCGGAGTGTATATGAGTAAGAGCATGCTGGAAGTCACGGTCATAAGTAGGGCCAATGAGAAGCACCCTGGTGGGCTTCCTGATGATCACCTTTGTCCCCTTCGACACTCTGCAGTAGTGTACCTGATGGTACTCCACAAAAATACTTCCAATTGCAATGGCGGTGCAGGCGCACTGTTGTGCCCACGTTGTCTGTCATGAGTTGACGAAGAGGCGCTGGAGGTGGCAAAACAAGAGTTGAAATATAGAGAGAGGGAGAGATGCACGAGATGGGCGACTACAAGACGGCGAAGGACAGGGTGAATAGCAGCCAAAGTATCTCAAGGCGCTGGGCTTCGTGGACAAGTGGAGTGACCCCTCCTGCATTGGATGGGACGAAAAGAGGGGGGGAGCTTGCTCGTGCGGGCTCGCCTTCCCAAAACAAGCTGTGGTGGAGATGATCCAGTCCCAACTCGAGGAGTGACAAGTGGTAGTTCTGTTGCAAGGTGGACTGGCTGCAGTTGGTGAAGGCGCAGGAGAATCACCCAAAGGACGTGCTCTTGAAGGAATGCGTGAACAAGATGAAGAAAACGTCCGGGGCAGACTGCGAAGCATGGGCAAAGATCGGGTGCGGGAGCAAATTCTTCCCGTTCAAGAGCGTGCCATCGATGTTGGTGGAACGCAAAGTGGAAACCGCATGGCACGCACTCATTGCGGAAAGGCTTCCGCAGCAACTCGACGACGCCATCGAGGAGCGCCATTACGAGTTCTCCGACGCGGCCAGGAAGATGAGCCCAGAGGAGCTATTCGAGTTGATCCCATTGTCCTTCCCGATGACGCACAAGATCGAAGTTCGCGACCTCATCGCAAGGTATCCACTGGACAAATTGGAAAGGTCAGAGAAGAGGGCCTTCACTGTGCAGGGCTGGTGCGAGCTGGCGCTGAAGATTGCGAAGGACGACGAAGATAGCCTCCACAAAGTAATGAAGGTTGCCAACAGGGAGATGAACGACGAGGACAACATGGACCCTGAGGAAGTGAGGAGGCTGAAGGAAAGCCAGAAGCTACGAGACAGCACCCAGACCATGCTGGATGGCACCGAGATCTTCGCGGAAAAGCTCCGCTACCCCAAGTCGGGGAAGACGACCGCGGCCAGCTCATCCAGCGGCCACCAGTGAGTGCACCCACTGGAGCCCGCTGATTTGCCAGGAGGAAACATTAGCGAGGTTAAGGCTAATCTACGCAAGATGCGCGCTGGCCGTGCCCGCAGACAGTCAGGACGAGCATTAGTGAGGTTTCCCATGTGCTCGTTGAGCCGGATGCCGTGTTCTTTTGCACAGCGAAGAGCCTCCGTCATTCTTTCTCCTGCTTTGCTGAAGGCTGTAAATACTTGTCCAGCCAATTTCATACCATCCAGCAGCGATTTTGCCATCTCCGCCGAGTTCTCTGTGGCGATCTTGTTTCTTTGTGTGCGAGTCTTGTTATTTGGGCCTCCTTCTTCTGCCAGTTGTACTTGAGCCGCTTGTATATGTCCTAGTGCCTGGGTTGCCCACGCTGGCCCTTTCGCCTTCCTCTTTTGTTCTCGGCTGACCTGCTCTCTCGTAATATACTTTTCTCCTCCATGCAGTGTATTTTCTTCGTCGTTCCAATCTTCCCGCTCCTCCTCCTTCAGCTCCAGCTCGCAATCGATGCGCATTCGTTTCCATTCGTTGCCTTTGCCGCCTTGATCCTTTTCGTGACCTGGCTCCTATCTCTTGTGCTCTCTGCGGTTTTCGATTACTTTATAGTGCTGGAGCCCCTTGCTGCAACGCCCGCAGGGCCATAGTTGGCTGCTGGCCGTGAAGGCCGTGGCCCACACGTGCGACACACTCCGACAAACCCCGCTAGTGCGCCACACTGCGCACCTAGGCCAGCGTTGAGCCAGATCAGCTGTGGCAGCCGAGGATGGGCGATGGAGATAGTGGCGTATTCCCAACAGCCCAACTGCCTTGTTAAGCGCGTAGTACCTTATATGTGTTGGCCCCATCTCCCCCGCTGAGGTAGTGCCGAATTCCCAGCAGCCCTGTAACTTCGTAGTGCCTCGTACCCTGTGCCCATCTCCCCCCATAGACCGTGGCCCGTCTTACATTGTGCGTAGGATGTACTGTATGCAAAGTACCCCGCCCACCATTTCACCGTATCTGTAATGGAAAGAGGGAGGGATAATCGCATCGTGTCGCCTTTGTAGAAAAACGCCTTCTACTGATTGGGTTGGGTAGGCTGGATATTGCTAGGCAGACCTTTCACCGGGGCGTTTCTCTGTAACTCAGCTTCCCGCTCTGCTCGGGACTTCAGGGCCGTTTTGTATATCGTACCATGTGGGGCAGAAAGCTTGGGTTTGGTGAGGCGTTCAACGTCCATGCTGATCGAGTCTGCTATTATTTCATCAGCCGAAAGGTCTCTCTTCCTGTTCTGTGCGCTGTTGGGCACGCCAGCTATGCCCAACTGCCCCAGGGGGGCTCCTGAGGCGGCACCTTGATTGCATGATGCTGACGCCGACGTTGGTGCAGTGTACGTGCTTGCTCGCGTCAGCCGTGGTCTGGCATTTTGCCCTGGGGTCTTGACACTCCGAGAAAACCTCGCTATTGCAACCACCCCTTCAGACTTCTGTGGTGCAGCACTCCGCGAAAACGTCGCTAACGCCACCACTTCCTCCGCTCTCAGCGACGCCGACGCTGTAGTTCCCGCTCCACCATCCTCCCCAGCTCTGACTTGGGTGCCGCCGACTGGGACTTCTTGCCTCCCACGTAGACGATCAGCATCCCCGTCGCCATCCTCAGGTTGTGGCCTGCGAACTGGTCCAGCTTCGCCATGGTGTCTTCCCTCATGCTGTTCGGAAACACCGCTCTGAAGTTGGGGGGCTAGTTGGTGCCGATCTGGATCTTGCCCGAACCCTCCTCCCAGAACTCCTGCTCGTCCTCGTTCGGGTTCCTGTTCTTTCTGTTGCGCGCCTTGTAGCTTTCGCTGACCTTGCACAGGAGGAGGAGGAGAAAGAGGGGAAGGAGGAGGAGGAGGAGGAATAGGAAAAGGAGGAGGAGGAGCAGGAGGAGGAGTAGGAGGTGGAGGAGGAGGGGGGGACCCATCCCGTGCTCCGTCGTTCGTGGGATGGGCAGGCCTCCTGGAGGGTCACGCTTCGATTGTGTTCTGGCTGTCCAGGGGCGGCTTGGGAGTCTGGGCGCGGCTTCTTGCTGCATCGCTTGACTTGCAACTCCTCCTAATCCGCCTCCTCCGCATTCGCTCTCCTCCCTTTCCCCTCCCTTCCTTTTCCCCCCCATCCTGTCTCCTCTCCCCTCCTTCCCTCCCAACAATTACCCAATACGAATTCTCCTCCCCTCTCTACTCTGATGCGGTCTCTATTTCCCCCCGCCTGTCTCATTCATTTATTCGAATACGAGCAGGATTGCCCAAAAGTGGTTTTCGACTTGGCTTTTCAGCCAGAGCGTTCTCATCCCTTCACACGCTGTGCTCCGACCGCAGCGGCGGCCACGTTTGCATCGATCTCCAAAGGGCCGCCGTCCCACGGGACGGCGCTCTCGCCGCGGCGCCGGGCTCCATGTTTTTTATTGTTTTCTCTCTCGCTCTCTCTCTCTCTCTTTCTCTCTCTCTCTTTTGTTTCTTCTCTCTCTCTCTCTTTCTCTTTCTCTCTCTTCATATATATATATATATATATATATATATATATATATGTACATATACATATATATACACATATATGTATGTACAGATCTATCCTGGGGGAAGAGGCCCCCTGGCCGCGTCCAAGGACCACGGCGGGGCTTGGGAGGACGGGGCCTCTGGGAACGCCCACAGACGGCCCAAGGCAGTCCCGAAGCGTGTTGAAAGGGCACCACGAGGCCTCCAAGACGGTCCAATGGAGCCCAGGGTCACCGAAACACCGCACCAAGACGCCTAAGATGGCCCCGAAGCGGCCCACGAAAGCTCCAAGACGCTGCAGGAGGCTCCAACAGGCCTACCAACATGCCCCCAAGAGGGCAAAATCTATAAATTCCCAAGGGACAACGTACATTTAAGCAAAAACACCGTTTCGCTTCTCCGACGCTCCACAGCAGCCCAAGAAGCCCAGAAGACCGTCCTAACGCAGCCGTATGAGGGCCCCAAGAGGCCCCAAGACACCCACCGTCGACCCACCCGCGACCCACCTGCGACCCAACCCGCGACCCCCTACATTGTTGTAACAAAAAAATCGGCGCCTGCGGCGGGCCCGTTGTATAGCTTGAGACATGTTGCGCCTGCGGCGGGCTTCTTCAAAGCCTCGCAGACTGCCGACGTCTCCCAGCCGCCCCCTCAATCTTATCCGCAAATGCGGGGTGCTACGGTACGCAGCTGCGATGGGACTCTTCATGGTGATAGTGGCGAGTCAAGCGGAGCTCTCCTTCTGCTCCTCCTCATTCGCATCGCAGCAGCACCCACGACGGGCGGTCTTTCGCCCAATGTAGCGGCGCTGGCCGTACTCCTTGCTTCAGCAGAAGTGCAGCTCTCGTTGCAGCGTTTGCCGCGCGAGTCTGTCGCCGCGCGGTTCGCTCTGACGCGCGGCCTTCCGTCTTGGAGAGGGCGCCGCGGGCACCAGGGCAAACGCCGCCCGGGGCTCAGGGCTTGCCGTGGGGTCTGCCGCGGTACTGGCTGGACGCAGGGTTTGTCGTGCGTTTGCCGCGGTGTCGGCGTCGCCCACGTGGGCGCGGCGAGAGCAAACGATGCTATCGCTGCCGCACGGGCCGTACTACTGCATCAGCAAATGTGGTCTTCCTGCTTAAGGCGTTTGTAGCGTTTAAGGACAAACATCTCCTTTTGAGACCCATGTCTTCTTCGATATCCGTCTCTGCGAATAGAGGGGATTCAACGCCATGCAAGGAACGGGAGGGAGGGATGTGATGTCAGACATGGCGCGAGTGCACCAATCAGTCTTGCCCCCTCCCTCCCCCCTTTCCCTCCTCCCCCTTCCCCTCCCTCCTACCTCTCTCCTCGTGTCTCTCATTCTCCTCCTCCCTCCTGCCCCTCCTGCTGCCCCTCTTGGCATCAAACTATTTCTTGCCTGTTCCCCACCAAGCCGCCGGCGAGGGCCGCAACGAGAATTGGGAGAACGACCGGAGGGATTATCACAGCAGGCCTCCGGAAGGGGGGAAGGGGGGAGGTGGGGGGGGCGAGATGGAAGGGGAGGGGGATGCAGGGGTAGGACCAGGAAGAAGAGGGGGGGAGCAGGAGAAAGGGGCTCCATGAGGAGGAGGGTTGAGAGGAACAGAAGAAGCAGGGGTGAGTTGCGAAGGAGGCGAGGGGGCAGAGGGGAGGAGGGCGAGGAGGTGGGAGAGGGCAAGAGGGGCGGGGAGGGAGGGAGGGAGGGAGGGAGGAAGGACTGCCGACAGCTCCGATCTTGGCTCTGCTGGCGGAAGATCTGGAGTTCTGCGCAGTGGTGGTGATGTACAGTCGAGATGCTGACATGAGGGCCACTTCGGGCATGACTCAACCCGATTCCTCCGATTCCTCCGATTCGATTCGATTCGATTTCGATGGATTCTGATTCCGATTCGACTCGACTTCGGACTTCGATGCGGGATCCGATTTCCCAATGCAGGCCTACTGGCCTGCCGATTCCCGCTGTCCCGACTTCTCCCGACTCGGCTGCCGCTCCCCGCCGATCCGATTCGCTTCGATGGCCGATCCGACTCGCCGATTCGATTTCTTGGGCCCTCCCGACGGAAGGAGCACTCCGGGCCCGAGGAGGGGCTGTCGGTTTCCGGGCCGCCCTGCGGCACCAGGTCGGGGAGCCCCTCTCTCCGCTGCCGAGGCCCGCCGTGGCCGGGAACGCGTCCCCTCGCTGCTTCTACTTTGGCGCGCCCATCGTAGGATGGCACGAGGGCGTGCACGCCCTGCGCTCGAAGGAGGAGACGTCACAAACGTACACTTTTGGCGCTCCGCGCGTACTTCTTGGATCCGCGCGGGGCCCCCCCTCGGCGCCTCCGGCGCCGCCTCTGGCGCGCTCCGCGCGCCCGGGAGGGGTATCCAGCGCAGAGCCAAGACATCCGCGCGGAGCGCCAAAAGTTTATGTTTCTGGCGTTTGCTCTTCTTCTAGTGGTGCTCCCTTCGGGTACGTAGCACGATGGCTGCACGCCTCGTGTTGCATGGAACCTCCTGGCGTTGTACCTCTCCTGGCGTTGTATCTCTGCCGTGGCACACGTCTACCTTCGCTGCGTGACGTACTGCAGGAAGAAGCCAGCATTGAGGTCGCGTTTGGGTCGTTCGCATGTTCTGGCCAGCTAGAGCAGCGTCGCGTGGTCTGTCAACCTTCGCTTTTGGCCGCACTTGGAGGGTGCGAAACCAAAGTTCAGTTCGAACAGAAGTTATATACTACAGTTCTTTGTTGGGGCCGATATCTTGATATTTGATGGAAGTCTGAATCTAGCGTACGTAGCGGGCTGGGCTGCGCAAGCCCCAAACCTTGAGGCGTCGCGAACAAGCTCTGGGGCTTCCTTCTCCATTTCGGCGTCGCGGGGGCCGTCTGAGGCTCGACGGCTGTCCGCGTCGAAGCAACAGTCTTGGTAATGGGTCGAGAGTGCCCACGTGAGCCCGCGTCGTCGACAGGACACGTTGTCGGAAATTGCGGGGGAAATGAGGGAAACATATTTTTGGTGGTGGGGCCGATACGATTTCTACTGCGTTTTGTATCGTTTCTCGTGTGTTGGTTTCTTTTTTCCCAGCCCTTCCTTTCTCGAGCCAAGGTGAGTGTATTGCCTGGACTGTCTAGGCCGTTCAGTACGGGACTCTCGCACTACAGTTCAGCAGGCCAGGGGACGATACGTCTTGGGGCTAATCCGTTT